AGGTAAGCCCTCCACTTCTGTACTGCCAGAAGTATTGCCAAGAACTCCTTTTCATATATGGATAATCCTAGGTTCTTAGATCCAAGTGCCTTGCTTAAATAAGCTAATGGATGACCTTTATGCATCAATACTGCACCAATTCCATAATAGGATGCATCAGTCTCAACCACAAACTTATCCTTGAAATCTGGCAGTTGCAGCACTGGAGTAGTGGTCATGGCTTCTTTCAGCTTTTCAAAAGCTTCTTGGGCTTCTAAATTCCACTGGAACTGCCCCTTTTTTAAATGTTGAGTTAGTGGTTTAGCTATTTCACCATATCCCCTCGCAAACTTTCTGTAATATCCTGTCAAGCCCAGAAATCCTCTAAGAGCCTTCAATGTTGTGGGGGTGGGCCAGCTCTTCATACTATCTATTTTGCTAGGGTCTACCCCTACTCCTTCTTCAGTGATGATGTGCCCCAAGTATTCCACTTGTCTTTGACCAAAACTACATTTACTCATCTTAGCATATAGTTGGTTTTTCTTGAGAAGCTCCAAAACCTTTCTCACATGTTGTTGGTGAGACTCTATATTAGGGCTGTAGATGAGTATATCATCAAACAATACTAACACAAACTCCATCAGGTGATCTCTGAAGACATCATTCATCAAGGCTTGGAATGTAGCATGTGCATTTGTGAGTCCAAATGGCATCACCAAAAACTCATAATGCCCAACAAAAGTTACAAATGCAGTTTTTTTTTACATCTCCTTGGTTCATTCTAATTTGATGGTAACCTGCTCTGAGGTCAATTTTGGAGAACACTTTAGCTCCCCCCAATTCATCTAATAAGTCATCAATTAGAGGAATGGGGTATCCATCCTTTATGGTCATGGAATTTAGTTTCCTATAGTCTACACAGAACCTCCATGATCCATCTTTCTTCTTCACCAGTAGCACTGCTACTGGTGATGCAAAGGGGCTGTTGCTGGACTCTATGATCCCAGCATTCAGCATCTCTTGCACCATGGCCTCTACTCTTTTCTCTGCATGAAGGGGTATCTATAAAGTTGGGATTTGAATGGCTGAGCATTGTCTTTGAGGGGAATTGAGTGCTCAGCTTTCCTCACTGGGGGTAGCTCAGTAGATTCTTGGAACACTTCAGCAAACTCACTAATCACTTCCTTGATTTCAAGAGGAACTTTCTTCTCTTCCTCTGTCCTCTCTGAGTTTTGCATCATTACTATACACCCCATGATGATCTTCTTACTGTGTAGCATGCTTTGCAATTCCTCTCCATCAATCAATTGAAACTCAGGCTCCCCATTTATTCCTTGGAGTATCACTTCCTTCCCTTCATAATTGAATGTAATTGACTGCACATTGTGATCAAAAGAGAGTGGTGCAAACCTTTTCATGAAATCCACCCCAAGTACTAGATCACATCCTCCCAGTTCTAACAGAGTCACACTAATCTCAAACTTGCATTTCCCCATCTCCCACTGGAAGGCTGGGCAGAATGAGTCACACTCCACTTGGAGTCTTCCAGCCACTTTCACTTTGGCTCTTTTGTTGCACACCCTTTCACATTTTAATCTCACTGCAGTTTGACGGTCTAGGAAGCTATGTGAGGCTCCAGTGTCCAGTAGAATGGTTATAGGCTGCCCCTTGTGCCTTCCTAGTACTTTGAGTGTGGTCTGAGTGACTTGGCCAGTGATAGCATTGAAGGATATTTGCATACATTCTTCTGTTACTCCTTCTGCCAGTTCTTCTACTTCTTCCTCAACAGCCTCATCATCTGCTAATGGTACACATTCAATATGAAATAGCTTTTTACAACTATGACCAGGAATGTACCTCTCATCACAATTGTAACATAATCCCTTTCTTCTTCTTTCCTCTAACTCTGGTCTAGTCAGCTTCTTATTATTCATCCCTCATCTCTCTGTCTGTTGGACTCTAGTAGTTTGGAAAACTGGTTTGTAGAGCTTTAACTGTGTAGTAGCAGACTTCACAGTGCTCTTGATTTCTTCAGAAAGGTGGTCAGCATTTCCTTCTTGTAACTTGGCTTGCTGTATGGCTTGAGATAAAGTCATGGATCTCATCATTTTTACCACATTCTTGATGCTATCTTTGAGTCCTTCAACAAAACACTCCAGATAATAGGTTTCAGTGAATGTCCTATGTTTTTTACTCACAAATGCTTTTAGATGCTCAAATTTCAACTTATATTCCTCCATTGTGGTTTCTTGGCGCAGTCTATTAAACTCAGTAGTTAAGCTGACTCCTACCTCTTCTAGAAACCTATCCAGTATCATATTTGTGAAATTCTCCCATCCTAGCCCTTCTAACTGCTCAATGTAATCAGTGTACCAATCCTTCACTTTGCCCTCTAGATGCATGGATGCAAACTGCACTTTTTTCTGTTCAGTCATAGCGTTCAGAGTGAAATATCTGTGACACCTCCTCAACTAAGTTCTAGGAAACTCCCCATCAAACTTTGAAAATTCTACTTTGACAGCCCTATTTTCTCCCCATCTACCCGGGCTGTTAAGATTTCCTATTTCAACACGCATTTGGGGTTGTGTACTGTGTATGTTTTCAGAAAACCATAAGGGGTTTTCAGAGGAAATACCTTGAGTATAAGGAGCTTTTCCATGGTCTACATTGACAGTTTTCACCAGCTCTCCCACCAGTTTACTCAGATCTTCAATCCTCTGGTTAGTTTCTGCTCTTCTTTTAGCCATTTCAGCTTATAAATTGGCATGTATCTCACTCATCTCTCATTGAATCTTCTTGTTGAAAGCCAATTGTTCATCTAGATAAACTTCTGCGTCAGATCTGGTCTTATCACTTGACCCTGTTCTCACGTGACTCCTAGTCATCATTTAGGGTTATGATGGCCAGAAACGGTGGCTCTAGATACCAAATGTCACGAACTCTCTCTTGGCCTTCAATCTTTGAGCTCGGTTGATAAGAAAAACCTGTAAAACAGTGAACTTCAGCAAAACAATGGCGGCGGCTAAAGTTCTAAGGTTGGTGTGAAATAGTGAATTATAAACTACACTAAGTTTAACCTAAGAGTTACCAGTCATTTTCGATAAGGTTGTCAGCTCCTACTTTGTCTTCTTATATTGCCATCATGTGAAGAAGAGCTAAGGTTTAGGTGTGGAGCCTCCCATGCAGCTCACGTGTGCCCACGTTCTGATTCCCCTCCAAAACGACGGCGTTTTGCCCTCCCTAGTAATAATTAATAAAACGCTGAAATAATAAAAGCGCGTCCACGCTTATTTAAGTTGAACGACGCCGTTTTATTCACAGATTTAAAAATCCGTTTATTCGGTTATTACAAGCTGTCTTGTAATCAGCGATCTTTTATTTTTTTTCTTCATTGACTTCTCTCATGTTTCTTACGCCCACTAGACAGGTGCACGCAGGTCCCACATATTTTATTAATGGGATTATTTTAGGGAACCCCTCGTACGGAAATCATATATAACTAACCACAAAGCAAATTACATCCTAGTGCATACCCTCTCTAATTTGAAATTAATTTAATCGACCCCCTCGCGCACCATAAAGTACTTAAAATGCCCTTTTAAAATCAATTTTAAACCGTAGCCAACTGACATTCATCTCTCTTTTCTTCTCTCAACTCTCAAATTCAAATTCCGCCCCCATATATCTCCCGGCGAAGTTGTTTCCTGGAATCATGACTCTCTCTCTGGTGGTCGGAATTCGATGGTTTAACTACCGTTGGATTTCTCTCGTCGAGCTCTTTCCTTTGGTAGTGATTTCATTCAATTTGGAGCACTCGATATGTTTTAGCAATCATTTTACAGTCGGCGCGTATTTCGACACGGTGGGTCTTGCCGCGTAATGTGTGTTCCGACATTCGGAATTTGATGGTCTACCCACCGTTGGATTCCTCTTGTCGAGATCTATATTTTGATAGCAATTTCGTTCATTTTCTTTTATTATCAGATTTATTTATATAATATTTTTCATTTGTGAGTGCGGAACCTTACGTGGTTAGCGGCGGCTAGGGTTTTGGTAGGAGGCGCTTGGCGTGAAGAGTCATTGGCGGTTTGGTCTAAATTTCGTAGCATTTCGCAGCTATGACATCTGTCTCTACCTCTCGATCTCTTAGTGTTAGTTGATTTTTGAGTGTTTTGATGTTTCTTCATTTTTTGTTGATTTGCACTAAAATAATTTATTTTTGTTTTGATTTTGCAATTGCAGATTAATGAAAGCCATTGATCCTCTCCTTGAAGGTATCAAAAAATTTGGTTGAAGTTACATCTGCTTTAAGGTACAGTGTTCAACAGACTGTATATATATTAATGTACATTACTATACATTACTATACATTATAGTTACATATAGTAACATGTAGTTACATATGCATATATTTGTGTATTTTCGATTTTTATTTGTTGGTTATGAGGTGATTTATAATATAAATATTGAAATTGTAAATTTTTTGTTGTTGGGGTTTATGAATTTCTTTTGTATAAGGCAGTATTCATGTGTGTACATAATTAATCGTCTAAAAATATGGGGTAAAAAAAAGAACATAACTACGTATGACTATAGTTTACTACAGTTACATGTAGTTAATTTCAGTAGAGTAAACATATTGATTTAAAAAAAAATTAAAAAAAAAATTTAAGATATATAAATTAAAAATGATAAAATAAACAAACAGGTTTTTAAAAGAAAAAATAAAAAAAATATAAATATAAATAAATCAGCGAAAATACTAAATACAGGACCAGAAATATTGAATGCAGTTTGGCCGAAAATTGCATATAAGGGCATTATATTTCGCCTCTCCAGGGGGTATGTCAAATGATCATTTTGGTTTGTATTTATCCCTAGTTTATCAGACACCTGGGGGTGTATATAAAATAAGCCCTTTATTAATTAATTTTCCTATGTATTTACTAATTTTCCATTTTGTAATGTGGAAATTATGTGACTTAAGAAATAAATTTCTGCATGACGAGGAACGGATAGACATGAAGAATATCGTACTGTTGCAGAGACTACCTAAACCTATATCAATAGTTGAAGAAGTCGCTTCACTCGGGCCATATTACCACTCATCCATCGTCCTGGCTCCCCCGGACCGGGGTGTTATTAAAATGAACGTCGATGTGGCTTTCCCCACTGGAAAGAATTTCTACGTGACGGCTATGGTGGCGCGTGGCTGCAGCAGCGAATGTTTATGGTGGAAAATCTTGAAAAAATTGGGCCGCCCACCTGTTTCTAGTGGAAAAACGACTGGCATGCTTCATGCTCTACAACTTGCGAAGGAGAAGGGATGTAATGCCATAGTCATTGAAGGCGATAGTTTACAAGTGATGACAGCTCTCACGGAGGAAGAATGTCCATTGGCACCGTTTGGTGCAATTGTTGAACAATGTCTAGTTTATGCTCGTGGTTTCAATCTTGTTTCTTTTCAATTTATTAAACGAACTGGAAATCATCTTGCCCATGAGTTGGCTAAGTTGTACGAGATGACTGGCTTGAAAGGATTTATACTTCCCCCAGGTTTGGTGATGAATATTTGATAAAATCGCTATTTTCCTTCAAAAGATAAAAACTAAAAAAAATAAAAAAATTGTATAAATACAAATTGGGCGAATTAATTTACATCAATTCCAAAATACCCCTCCCAATATAATTTACATCAATTTCATACACAATGTCAGAACATAACAAATATTTCATATTGACTTCGTATTTTCATAAATATATCACATTAACCCTTGTTTTTATAACTTTTTGAAATAAGTTTTTTTTTCAAAAAAAATTTCTTCTTTTATTCAGCCAACGACCGGTGTTGATTTTTTTTAAAAACCATTTTTTCCAAACAAAATATTTTCCGCCACCGCCGTTGACTTTTATTTAGTTATTTGTTATTTACTTTTTTGATTTTTTTGAATTAGTTTATTTTCACTCCTTTAAACGGCCAACACAGTAAGATTACTGTAAAAAAAAGAAAGAAACAATAATCATATTAGTATGTTAACAGAGATAGTATTGTCTGAGACACTAGTGTGATATTACCATGCTAACAGAAATAGTACTATCTAAGACACTAATATTGCATGTCAAAAAAATAATATTAATATAAACACAGTAATATTAGTATGTTAACAACAATATTATTGTATGAGACAGTAATACTATATGCCAAGACATATCAATATTATTGTGTTAACAACAATATTAGTGTGTGAGACAGTAATACTGCAAGCCAATACATTGATATCACTATGATAACAACAATATTACCGTATGAGACAGTAATATTGCAATCCAATACAGTAAAATTCTTGTTAATGCAATAATATTATTATGTTAACTGTAATATCATTTTACGGCAGTCAAATGATCAGGAAAAAAATCAACGTCGGCGACTAGCTAGAAAAAAAAAAAAAAAAAAAAAGAAAAACAAAACTCAAAGTCGGAGACCGGTGGTCAACGGCGGCTGATTGGCGTTCACAGATTGTGACGGTCAAAATTGGGGTTTGAATTGGGTTAGGGGTCAAAATTGATTAACTATTGAATTTAGGGCTAAATTATGGTTTAAATCATGAAATTGTGGTGACTTAGGGTTTCAAGGAGTTGGGGGTAATTTGGTATATATGAGAGAATTTTCCTTAGTTACAAATAAATGATGATGGTGGATATATTTACAAGACAAAATAGTATAATGTTCTTTCTAGCCTACCTTTGAAAGTGTGAATGTTGTTGTTTCTTAACGTTTTGTGATATTCCTACTTCTGCTTTACAAATTGATCTAGCAAAGCTTCACTACCATAAGAGGTTTTTCCAATAAAAGTTCTGAGATCTTCAATGACTCGTGAGGTTTTATATATGCACGAATTTAGCCTCCAAACCCTTGGTTGATCTCCAAGAAATCGTATAACTAGGGAAGTATAATCATAGCCGATTTCTAACTGTATTCTAGATAAATACAAAAATACCTAGCTAGAATAAGATATATGGAAATAAATCAAAGTACTAATAAGAGTAATACAAAAATAGGACTCTAAATAATTCCCAAAAATAAACATGGAAATAAATCTCTGCCAATCTTTTAATTCCAAAAACTGAATTTCCTCGATCTTCAATAATCGGAATTCTGGTGCCAATAACATTGAAAATTAATTTTCAGATAAGTTTTATTGTAATAAAAAATGACGAATTATATTGTGAAGGAAAAAAAAAAGTAGTATTTATAGGCAAAGAATAATGAGAAGGTAACAAACAAGCTAGAAGGACCAACTCATTAAATCACACCATAATAATGCATACAAATTCTTATAGAAATTATTGAAGTTGAACCATGTGTCCATGTCAACGTACATAAATACTGTAAATCATCTCTGTAAGAGAAGTGTTCCAGAGGTTGCACAACAGTAGTCAAAGTTCAAACAAACAGATCACTCAAATAAGGCAAAGTAGTAGGTCACAAAGAATCTCGTGATTAAAGAAGGATGAAGTTGTGTGCGAAAACGGCAAGCATCCCCATCACAAGTCCGTTAGTCATCGAAATCAATCGGCCAACATCGCTTGCCCGTGGTGGTGGTGGTGGTGGTGGTGGTGGTGATGGTGGTGGAATTAGTTTTTGCGGTGGTGGTGGCGGTACTAGTTTTTGTGGTGGAGGTGAACGAGTAGTGTTTGGGGGTATAGTTTTGGACAAGAGGGAATCATAGCCTGAGATGAATAAATTTTCAATCATATATAGGTTTATATGCATAAACTAGCGAAAAAAGAAAAAAAATGAAAAATGAAAAAGGACACTAAAAAATGATATTGAAAATGAACTCACAGTTAGATTTTCTCCAACCCAAAACCATCTCCTCACGGTCGAAGACTAGGCGGTACCCAGTCATAAAATTATCTGTTATAAAAAAAAAAAAAAACACAGCATTAGTATCCTATAAATCGTCACATAAGCCTGAAGGTCGGTCGACCCACGAATTATAATAATCCCGATTTACCATTTTGCGTAGAAATTAGAAAGAAGAAGGGTGAAGAAAGAAAGGGAACAAAGTGAATGTAAACATGATGAATTTGGTATTAAATAGGGCAAATTACAGTGTTCATCCCTCAACTTTGCACCGATGTCACATTTGGTCCGCCATGTTCACGAAAACATATTTGGTCCCTCTTGTTTCAATTTATTAACACTTTTGGTCATTTCTGTCAATTTACCGTTAGTCTTTCGTTTACGGCAGTGTTTGGCACATGCTTGATTCTGTTATTACAAACAGAAAATTGACAGAAATGGCTAAAAATGTTATATATTGAAACATGAGGGACCAAATATGAAATCGGTGCAAACTTTAGGGATGAAATTTGTATTTTCTCGTATTAAATAATTAAACTCTGTAGCAATTTAGAGTCGAAAGCAAAAAATATCCAAGACGCGCAAAAATTGTAACTATTCGTTACCGTCGCTTCATACTCAATAACTCGCAATTGCAATTTAAGCAAACAAACTTATGGGATACTCACTTCCAATGATGTTAAAATCCTCGATTTTTACGATAGCCAAACAATACCCAAAACCACCATCCTGCATATGAATAGAAATCTCAGCACTTATTTTTTGAACACATGGAACATTCTCATAAATTTATCCGCTGAAAAATTTCTTACCGGCCGTTTAAAATAAAGTATTGGTGCATTAACAGTAAATTCGCTTCCACCTTTCATTGTGAAGGTTATATTTGGGGTTATAGGGTCATCTTGATTTGCACTGCATGGAAACATACACAAATCGTTAGGCAAAAAATGACGATTCAAAAATTTACGTTGATAAATTAAACGGACCTGAGTTCATAGCAGTAGTCGAAAACAAACGCGAAAGGAAATACATAGCGTTTCTCGGTTACGCGAGAATTGAACTGCAAAAGAGGAAAGTAGAATCAGAGTACATACATTCACGGGGCTCTTTGAGAAAACCCCCTCATTATTTTTTTTATTTGAGGGAGGCCCAAAATATTTTAGTCCATTTGAGAAAAGTCCACACCCATTTTCAGCCATTATGCTTTCCAGCTTTGTCCCCACCCGCCACATCATCACTGGGTCACGCTCAGCAATTTTTTTTTTTTTTTTCCGTTTTTTTTCTTAATCGACTATGAAGCATAGTCGATTAAGCCTTAATCGACTATGCTTCATAGTCGATTAAGGAAATTATTTAATTATTTAATTTTTTTTTTGTTTTTTTAATTTTTTTTTTCTATATCAGGTGTATTAATCGACTATGATGAAGCATAGTCGATTAAGAATCTGCTACTAAACATAACAAATTACAACTGCGAAAAAATGCAAAATCAACTATATTTTTGAAAGAAAAAAAAATATACAAACGTTATAAATGATTTATACAATTGAAACAATAAACAAGAAATCCAAAAAAAATAAAAAAAACTGGAGTCGATCAACCTTAATCGAATACCAGAACATAGTCGATTAGCTTAATCGACTATGAACATGTACATAGTCGATTAAGGTTTCAGCCACAAAAAAACCCAAAATCGGCCTCCACATCGTCCCCACACCACCCAGAGCTTCTGCCATGGCCGAACCCGTCATATTTTGAGCATGTTCAGCTCCACCAATTAAGAAAACTAATTTAATTCTTCTCGCTACGTTCATTAGCTTCTCACACCACCGCCGGACCTCCACTTGCAGCAGAGGCCGCCGCCGTTGCCTTCTTCTCGTCTTGAAATTCATCACGAGCCGTCTGCTAATTCCAAGGACGACGACGCCGCCGCTACCACCAGCTCCGGGGGTACTCCCTCCGCCAACCGCCGCCCGCGCGGCCGTCCTCCGGGATCCAAGAACAAACCCAAGCCCCCAATTATCGTCACGCGCGACAGCCCCAACGCGCTCCGATCCCACGTCCTCGAAATCTCACTCCAGCAGCTGACGCGTGCGCGGAGATGACGGCGGCGGCGGCGGCGGCGGCGGAATCCTCCTTACTCTCCTGTTGAGCTTTCTCCTGTTGAGATTTCTCACTAATTTGTGTGTGTGTGTGTGTGTTTTTATGTGTGCGAGAGAAAGAGGAGAGAGAGAGAGAGAGAGAAAGAGAGAGAGAAGAGATAAGAGTGAGAAAGGGTGGTTTGGGAATTATTAAATAATATTTGGGTAGAATATTAGGTAAGGGGGTTTTCTCTAATTATTTTTGGGAGGGGGGTTTTTCTTAACTCATTTACCTAGATGAGGGGGGTATTGCTAATTATCCCTACATTCACAGACTAAAAAAATAACATATTATGGACAATAAATTAACATTATATATATATCTATATAACTTGGGGAAAATTACAGTTTTCGCCCCTCAAGTTTACACTTGTTTCAGATTTGGTCCCCTATGTTCACCAAACACACATGCTTGATTCCATTAGTACTAACGAAAATTTACCGTTATCAGTCAAGAGAGTGATGGGCAGATGCTTGATTCCATTAGTACTAACGAAAATGTTAAATTATTGAAACACGAGAGACAAAATATGTTTTTTTGTGAATATGGGGTACCAAATATGAAACTGAGGTAAACTTGAGGGACACAAATATAACTTTTTCCATGTAACTTACATTGTTTACAATAAACGAGAAAGCTGGATCGCTGAAGTATGAATATGGGAGGGAAGTGTCCAAAGTTGCGATGAACTCATGATTGGTAACATTTGTACTCACAGCAATTTCTGTCACAACTACATCATAAGTCGAGCTGCGAGAAAGATGGGAAGACAAATGAGGATGGAAAAAAAGAGGGAAATTTACAGTTTTTTTCCCTCAAGTTTGCACCGATTTTACATTTGGTCCTTGATGTTAAAAAAAACACATTTTGTCCCTCATATTTTAATATTTTAACACTTTTGGACCTTTCCATCATTTAACCGTTAGTCCTTCAGTTAAGGCAGTGAAAGGCACATGCTTGATTCCGTTAGTGCTAGTGAAAATTTGACGGAAAGGACTAAAAGTGCTGAACTTATGAAACATGACGGACCAAATGTATTTTTTGTGAACATGGGGACCAAATGTGAAATCGATGCAAACTTGAGGGCAAAAATTGATTTTTTCCCAAAAAAAAAATAAAAATAAAAATAGGACAAGGAAGCGACTCGTGCTTACTCTGTTTGTTCAAGATTAAAGGGAGTTGTTTGTTGACCCGGACTCCCTTTATCTCCAAATTCAATTCTTCCATATCGATCATCGCCAAAGCACATGGAGAAAGAATTTGCTGTAACATTTTTGCTAGCTAAAAGGCTAGGCACAGATATACTGTCCATACCAAGTCCGAATACACCGTTAATACCATAACGGTTCAAAAAACTTCCGGTTAGAATTTTTCCACATCTGAAACACAAGATATATGCATTAAAGCTTAAATCACACTAACAACAAACTAAGGGAAAAAAAAAAAAAAAAGTACCCACCCGAATGTAATCGGGACATTGACACTGGCTTCTGAAACGACATCTGTGCCCAAATACAAAACATCATCGACCAAATAACCGGTACTTGTGGTGTTGCCGTATTTTATTTGGTAAGAACAAGCATTAGGACTGGTAGAGCATCCTCTTGTGGGTCCACACAAAGGGCTGTTGCATGGAAGTGGCTTGCTAGTTGTCGAATTACCAGGACTGTATATGTTTAGCTTCGTTGTCTGTTACATCAAAATTAAATAATAACAATTGGAAACACAAACACGTACGATATAAAGTCATCTATATAGCTTTTTCAATTGAAAAAAAAAAACGATATACCGACAATTTAAGGGACTTACGCTTCCCTCAGAAATGTTGAAGCTACGTGTACAGGAAGTGCAGTCACATGGTAACCAGAATAGGTCACTGCCGGTGTCGAGTGCCACAAGATATTCCACAGAAGGGGTACCCACTCTAACAACTGAATAGTACAAGCTGCACATAAGTTGGACGATATGAATTACTAAATGTATTTTCAGTTCTCTAAAGTGAAAGCTGCTTAATATGCTTAACAATGAAAATAAATAAGTGGAAAAGGGATTTAGCTGCCATAGTAGCATACGGCATCATGTGATAAAAATAGAGCAACATTATCTGATAGTTAATTTCGGCTGTAAAACTGAAAATTGATTTCCGAAGCCAATGATTGGAATCGTTTTGGTGGTTATTTTCATTTTATTTTGAGAAAATATATTTTGAGGAAATAATTTCAGATGAAACAAAATACGATATAGCAGTCCGATCATGTTTAAAGGTATTGAAAAGAAATATTTTAGAAGAATAATTTGAAAATTAAAGTGATGTTACTTTTTTAGTGAAGATATTTTTATATCGTTGCAGTCAAATCTTTTAACTGTAGCAGTCAAATCATGTCTGGATAGGAGATAAACTTTAAAAATTGTTATGGAAAAATTTTTGAAAAGCTAAACAAACACGAATTCATTTCTGGAAAAGAATAAAAATGAAATGAAAACATAACCAAACACAACCAACGACTCACTACTCTTAAAGCATGTATCGCCGTATCGGAGGAATTTTAATCTCCCAATAATACGAGTCTAGAACAACATTTACGGAAAAAAATCCAATAAAACAACTTGCTAGTTTTATGATGGCACACGCACACACAGAGTTCGTATAATTATCCCACGTAAAGTAAGTACTACCAAACGACACAAATAAGAACAAAGAGTAAAGAAAAAAAAAAAAAAAAAAAAAAAGGAAATAACTTACTTGTTAAGAGATCTGAGTTTGTAAGTCTGATTGCCAGATGAACTATAGAAAGTGAGGGGTGGGGTGGTGGAGTCGGCAAGGCGACGGCCCTTGAAGAGATGATCACGGTGGGCCATGGCAGTGTAGTAGTCAACTGTACCCTTCTCCGGCAACCCATCCAGATTCAAGAATTGCTTGACAGTGTCGGAATATCTGTGGTGTATATCGAACCCGAATGTCCCAAATGCATCGCTGCTCTTCGCATTAAACCAACACGTAAACACTATTAGCATCAAACAACCAATCACTGAATTCTTAAAACACATCATTATTTACTTTATTTTATACAAAAAAAATTAATAGTAAAGAGAATTAAGTGAAACCCCTCTCCTATTTCCAATCAGTGAATTCTTGTATATATATACACAATTATAAGAGAGAGAAAGGAGAGTTGAACATGTCGAAAAAATAATCAAAGTAAAGTTGATATATTCAAATAATAACAAGTGGAGAGTAGAGAGAGGAGAAGAAGACGCGATCATCGTTGCCATGATAAATTCATAATGTTGATAATACGGAATTGGAAGTCGAAAAGCCGGAGGCATGCAAATTGCCATCTCTAATTTGTTTAATCTGTGTTGGACAATGTCTATATTCGCAAGAGCATATGCTAATCTGGCAAAAAAAAAACAAAAAAATCTAAGTCGTATCAGTGGCCAAATCCCTTTTCTTCTAATTTCTGAGTTTACTTTTTTTTTTTTTCTCCCGCAAATGAAATATCAATCACAGTTTCAGAAGAAAAATAAATAAATAATAACAACTTTTTTCTTTTTTTTGCTTTTGAATTTGATAAATAAAGGATGCTTTTTAATAAATATAGTATTACCTAGTACCAACCCCATCTTTTTGTTTCAAACATTTATTTTGACAGAATATCACATAGTAATCTTCAAAACACTAGTTTATGAATTTTGTGCATAACTCTAACCAGTGTCTAACGTAGACGCTCGTTTTTTTTTTTTTTTTTTTTTTTTTTTTGTGAAACTTTCTTAGATCGAATTGTTCCACTATTTTGTGTTTTTTGGATTTTCATTTTAGTAAAAAATAATCCACCAAAAACCCAACCAAAAAACTATTCACTCCAAGTAGAAACTTCTTTTTTTCGATTTTAAGAAAAAATATGTGGACCAATTTTGAGTTTAGATGATTTTTCACAATTTAATAAATATAATTAAATAATCAAAAAATATAATTAAAAAAATATAATTAAATAGTTTCTTTTATTTTGGTCTTTATGGAATAAATTTTTCATTCCAATTTTAATATTTTTGATTTTCAATGTTTCTATATTTTTCGAACGACATTGAATACGCTATTCACTTCTTAAAAGAACTGATAATTTTCAAAAGTAATAATTTTTATGTTCATAATATGAACACACTTATTTGAGAAAGGCTACTAGTGAAACCCATAGACACAATATAAGTTACTAATTGATGGAAATGTAGTGATTAAAATAATTTATACCACATTTGTAACACGGCCAAACACTAAATAATAGGGGTTCTTTGAGGAAACTCCCTCATTACTTGCACCAAAAGACGAAATCCTTCGCCCCTATCCCTTGGCCCGATAAGGATTGATGGAGAAATGTAAATTATGGTAACTCAACGGCCCGTTAAGGTAGCGGACCCGGACCTGGTGCCCAAAAGGAACCAACCTCCATTGGTAGCGGACCCGAACCTGGTGCCCACAAGGAACCAACCCTCATTGGAGTTGAAATTCCACACTGCGGCTGCCAGGATTCGATCCTAGGATCTTGCACCAACTTATCATCTCCGGAACCAGTTGAGCTACACCCATGCGGGCAACTCTCTCATTACTTTTTTAAATGGAGAGGTCCAAAATATTTCAGTCCATTTGAGAAAAGCCCACACCCATTTTGAGTCATTATGTCACATCTTCATAGCTGGGTCACGCGTTCAGCGATTTTTTTTTTCTTTTTTTTTTTCCATTCCCCACCCCCCCCCCCCTCCCTTTCTTTTCTGTATCAGTTTCCTTAATCGACTATGAAGCATAGTCGATTAAGGCTAATCGACTATGCTTCATAGTCGATTAAGGAAAATCTTTAAATTTTTTAAATTCTTTTTTTTGTTTTTTAATTTTTTTTCTATATCATGTATATTAATCGACTATGATGAAGCATAGTCGATTAAGATAAACATAACAAATCACAATTGCGAAAAAATGCAAAATCAACTATATTTTACAAAAAAACAAAAAATATACATTATAATTGATTTATACAATTGGAATCAATAAATAAAAAAATAAAAATAAATAAAATATTGGAGTTGATTAACTTCAATCGACTACCAGAGCCTAGTCGATTAACTTAATCGACTATTGAAAACATACATAGTCGATTAAGGTTTCAGCTTGCACGAATTTTTTTACTTGCGCCGTCATCCGCCCGATCCACCAAAAAACCCTAAATCTACCTTCCCTTCGTCACCACACCGTCGCCACACCACACTTTGTCAACCATAGTGGGAGTTCGATCTCCCAGTCTCCCAGTTTCAAGAAATAGAATCCACCATTAACGATTTTACTAAAAAAATCCATTAAAATATAACAAGAAATAAAAAGAGAAAAAAAAACACAGAGAAGAAAGAAGATGAAGAATCTAAAAATTCATACTTTGTTCCCAACAAACTGTAATCTTGTCCAAATCAACAGAAAATTCTGACAAATCTACTCACACTCATGATATATTTGCATAAATTAATCCCAAAATAAATTGGCTGTTGTTTTTTTCTCTCTTAATTTCTTACGTGATTTATTGTAAGAAAAAAAAAGATATTAATGTGTATATGGCTTCAATCCTGTTGATGATATGAGTGACAATCTTTTCCATTTGTACAGTGAAGAAGAGGAAAAAGGAGGAGAGAGAGAGAGAGTGAGAAAGTACAAGAAGAAGAAGATGAGGAAAAACGAGAAAGAGAGTGTGTCTGTACGTGAAAAGAAGAAGGGGAAAAGGAGAAGAGAGAAAGAGGAAGAAGATAAGAAAAAGGAGAAGAGAGAAAGGAAAAGCACGTAAAGAAGAGAAGATGAGGAAAAATGAGGTGAGAGAGTGTATTGAACAATTATTCAATTAAGGATAATTTTGGAATTATGAAATGGGCGAATGGCAAAAAGGTCCATCACATGGGACTTAAATGCATTTTGGTCTACAAAAAAATCAGTCTCTCAATTAAACTCATCCTCGTGTCTTTAGTTTAAAATACCCTCCATAATTTAATTCTTATCAATTCCACCCATTATGCTCTAACTTCCTTAATATTACACATTGACACCAGATTTAAACAAATATATCACATTAACCCTCAAATTTTTTTTTCCGGCCATAATTTTTTTTTCTGGCGTTAACTTTTTTTTTTTGAATTTTTTTTTCTTAAAAAAAATATTTTAAATAATGTTACTATCTTGACTACTAAATTACAGTGTCAGACAGTAATATTACTGTTTGGGACGGTAATATTATGAATATTATTTTCCCGAACAGTAATATTATTAATATTATTGTCTAAGATAGTTAAATTACTGTTGGACATAGTAATTTAGCAGCCAAGGCAGTAATATTAATTAAAATAATTTTTTTAAGAAAAAAAAATTAACAGTTATATTACTGTCTCCGACAGTTAAATAACTGATGGAGACAGTAATTTAACAACGAATACAGTAATATTAAGTAAAAATATTTTTTTTAAGTATGAAAAAGTCAATTAAATTACTGTCTCCGACAGTTAAATTACTGCTGGAGACAGTAATTTAGCAACAAATACAGTAATATTAATTAAAATATTTTTCAAAAAAATCAATTAACAATTAAATTACTGTCTCCGACGGTTAAATAACTGCTGGAGACAGTAATTTAGCAGCCAAGACAGTAATATTAATTAAAATATTTTTTTTAAGAAAAAACAAAATTATAAAAAAAAAAAAAAAAAAGTCAACGCCGGAGACCGCGGTCAACGGCAGTTGACCGGCTGGAAAAAAAATTCTGGGGAAAAAACATTTTTCAAAAAAAAAAAAGGTCTACGGCGGCGACCGGCGGTCTCCGGTGGTGGCGGGTCAAAATTGGGGTCAAAATTTAAATTAGGGTTAAAATTGGTTAATTGATGAAATTGGGCTAAATTGGGGTGTAAATAATGAAATTTGAGTTGAATTGAGTTTCAATGAATTGGGTTTCAATGGCTATGTTTGGTAAGCTTTTGAGCTTCCATTTCCATTTTATTTTGGATAAAGATGTTTTGGGAGAAGAATTTGAAAATTAAATAAAGTTTGTTTGTGTTTTGAGAGGAGATAATTTGAACTGTAGCAAGTCAAATCATGTCTGAAAGGTGTTGGGAAAAGGTATTTTGGAAGAATAATTTAAAAGATAAAATGATTTGATTTTGTATTTTAGTGAAGACAATTTTCATTGTAGCGGTCAAATCATGTTTGTTAGAGAGAGAAATATTTGAATTTGTTTTGGGGAAAGTTTTTGAAAATAGTGTAGAAAGATAATTTTCATTTTGGGGAAAATGTGAAAAAAATTTGAAAACACGTTAACAAACATAGCCAATGAATTTGGGGTAATTTTGGTATACATAAAGAGATTTTCCTTATTTGCAAATAAGTTTGAATGGATTGGATTTATTTGAAAGACAAAAAAGTTGGATGTGCCTCTTTTAATTAAGCTTGTCATGGACCTATTTGCCATTTACCTTTATGAAATATCATTTGGGTGAAAAATTAAATAAGGAGATTTTATCTAATTATTTTTTAGAGCGGTGTTTCCTTAACTACATTTCCTAGATGACGGAGTTCTTGCTAATTATCCCCTAAATAATATCACAATTACCATCATCTAAAATGATAAACATTATAATAATGCTTGCATCTTATCATACTCAACTGCTAATATAAAACGATAATATATTTTATCAAAAAACATTGTCATTATCCTTTCATGAAATAATATTACTACAATTGGTATTTTTGAGGAATATGCCATTGAATAACTTATTATATTTTTATTTTGTCAAAGTTCACACCTTAAGAGGTATTTCTCGTGACTAATATTATGCATAGGTAAGATGTGTTTTTTTTTTTTTTTTTTATAAACAACCTTGATTCATATGCATTATTCGTAGTTGAAATGCTTAATGTCGTTTTAATTTTAGTAATAGTGTTTCGACTTCAAATGAAATTTTCACTATTTTTTTAAGTACAAATTTGGAAAAGTCAAAACACAATATAAGGAGTTAAGTTGATTTTCTAA